ATATAAATATATACACAGAAACAAACGCAGGACACTCGTCACCGGCTCTTTGTGCCAAGGAATCTTTCCTCACTCCAAGAGGCATTGAAGTTGATCGATGGTGAGTATGACTCATGCCATGAGTTGTGGGCGAAAGGGGAGATCAGCAGTTTCAACGTAGAGTGCCACGCTTACACATCTTCTTGTTTAATCGGTGTACAGTATATCAACAAGAAACGAGTTGTGTTTTTTATACACAGAAAGCTCTCTTTGGCACATAGGTGGGTGAAGTCTGCCAACGACAAGATCAGACAGTCCACGGCCACGTCCCATACTCATTCCTTTTTTGATGAACAATCGATACATGAAATGGAAACATGTCCTGTTTTTTTGGTACCTTGCATTTGTCTATAGATAGAGTAAAGCTACATCAAGAGTTTGAAGACTCACATCATATATGTCACCTTCCACTTGCCCCTCCAAAGTTCCGAAGGTGTAGCAGAGCCTGCGCGATGGAAATCAAAATCCGGAGCACACCTTAGCGTTGTGATGCTCAATGGTCATTGTGCTGCAGGTTCATGGTAATTTATCGCATCTAATTGTGTTTCATGTTGTTTCATGTCAGTTGTGAGTGCTCCTATAGGACTGCGAAGAAGTATGAGAAACGCAGCGCTGGTGACACTCATGAGGAACCCGCGGGTAAACGGCGTAAGAAGGAGAAGACGGAGAAGACTGAGAAAACGGAGAAGAAGGATAAGAAGGAAAAGAAGCAAAAGAAGTGATCGCGTCTTTGGGCCACTAGATGGCACATTTTGCTCATGAGAGCACACATGTTCATCGCTCGTTGCAGAAAACCCGTGTGACCAGGGACACGGGATAGCGCTGCAGCGAACTGGCTGGAAGCCATTCAATCTCAGGGTAAACTCTTTTTGGGTTGATATGGTGGCATTGCTGCTTGTTTGATGAATCTCTTGTTTTCTTATAGTACATCTGTGTCAATCAAATAATGTGTTTGTGGTCCTTGGGGGGGTTGACAGCGGCATCCTGCCACAAACGGATATCAATCCGCTCTGCACTCGATCGTCAAGAAAAGTCTTTGTGAGAAAAGTCTATGCGGGTGACCTAGGTTCGATAGAGCATGGCGCAGCTTCACGACTTCACGATCCATGCCCTCTCCCCACCACGGGCCAGGTGCTGGGCATGCAGTAAGCACCATTGCCGGTGACATTGGCGAAGGCGTCTGAACCTCAAGCGCACGATTATTCAACCTTGTAGACATGTCTTTTGGTTTTGCTGCCAGCAGCGCTGTCTGCAGCGTATCTGGCTTCTATATACATATGAGACTGAGAAACTCTGTGCAATGCCACGTTTGCTATGAAAAGACTCTTATATATAACAAAGTCTTATAAATATGACATAACCTCGTATATTTCATAAATATATCTATATATATATATATATGACATTCAATCGTATATATACATACCTTCACCAACGGTGCTGATGGTTGCAAACGATGGGGCGGATGAAACAGCAGAAGAAGAACTCCTGGATTTGCTCACTTGCCACCGCTCGGAGCTTTGGCACGCAAACATGTTTTTGCAAACCGTCTTCAAAACTCCTCCAATTCATGCCTCCTGCCTCGCTGATGAAATGAGGAATCCGAGTGCCCCTACCCATGGAAAATGCCTTCGTCGTCTCAAGCTTCAGCTGCCTCTTCGCAACGGACGGAGGGGCCGGTACCAGTGAAAAGGGTGAGATCATCAGGGGCTACACTGTCTAAGATACTGCCTGGGTTTCAAAACGATGCCACCCGTGTCATGGGAAACTTACCAGCCAAATTGCTTGAGCGTTCCGGCCTGCAGCAAATGGTCCACCATGCCAAAGCTCTCGGCTGCATCTCGTTTCGACTTCCCAAATCAGTTGTTACAGCTGGGGCCATTCTTCACCATTGTATTGGAGTAGTTGAAAGCGTGCTGGAAAAGCAATACCCTCTTATCTTCAAGATTGGCTTCACTCATGATGCCGTGTGGCGCTGGTCGAATGGTCTCTACGGCTATGCTGTTTCTCGAGAGAAATGGTCAAATATGATCATCTTGCATATAGCTGATGAACCCTTCAGTGTGGCTATGCTTGAAGCTGCCTTGATCAACAGATTTCATGGATTCTTGGCATCATACGGATTTGGTTTTAAGGGGTGAGATTGCAATACCAAAAGCTTCCAAACACTATATGTTGACTATATTGCTATACAAACTGTGAGCCTGAGACCTCTTCCATATATATATATGCACGAGCAAACATGAGCAAGCTTAATGAATATAATGCAAACATTATCTTGCATCGCACTGTCTTGTGCCTCAGGACTGGAGGGATGCCGAAATGAACGCCGTGGTGGAGATAGCGTGAAAGCTCCGCAGAGCTCTGATGACTCTTTTATGTGCTACCTTGTGTATAGATCTTTTGCAGTCAAGCCAGCCCCTTGAGCGCCCGCATCCACTCAAAGATTGCATGTTCATATACGATGTTTATTGATCGAACAAGTGAACCCTTGCACACAGACCGGATCATACCGGTATGCAGCTTGCCTGTGACAAACTATATACTGTAAACACCAGAAAGCTTCCACTTTCAAGCTTGCTTGGGGGCTGACTCAAGAACCGTTGCATTCCTTCAATTAAGCCAAACCTCTGTATATATGGAACAGGGTTCTTTAATCCAGTTCGTGGAAAATCAGCGCTTTGGTTTGATTGTACTTTGCATTGCCCGGGATGACTGTGTCCAATGTTTACCAGCCTTACTGCACAGCATTCTGCACATGGCAGTCATGAGTCATTAGCGACACCAATTCAGTACATGCGAGCACACGCGCAATTCAAGTGACAGTGACGGCATTCGTTCTGAGGTCTCATCTTACAGAGCCTCGATCAGGACTGCAAAAGGCGTGGTGGCAGATTTAGGCGAGTCTGCTGCGTCTAGTTCAGGCGGATTGAGCAGGCTTGCACAGATACCTGAGAAGAATTCGGAGCGGGATGGCCAAAAGCTCATGAAGAAGTTGAATCTAGCTTTGCCCGTGGAAATGTCCACTCTTCAGAAAGCCCCAGGTGTCCAGTATGATGGTCACATCTGCGTTCTGAAATTGGAAAGCTGGGTAAAGTTCATCTTGAGCATTAATGCCTGGCATGTGTTTTGTGGATTGCATGCACCGGACGAACGCAGGGAGCGTGCGATCCTCTCACATTTCTGGAAGCTTTACCGGGAGTATGAACCAGCTCATGCCATGTGGTCCCTGGTGGACCAGGGGAAGCTTGACGTCAGCAGATGCGCTCCCCTTCTTTTGCACGGCGATGAAGGGCGGGGGCGTAAGCGCACACCTTTTCTGGTTCTGAGTTGGAGTTGCGTTCTTGGATTCGGTACATTGTTGGCGAACAGCTTAAGGAAAAAGAAACATTTCTTGAGTTTGAAGTTGAATTACAGTTCTTCTACACACTTGCACCGGTTCCTTACCTCAGTGCTCCCCAAGATGACAAGGGACGAGGAAGCTCTACAAGACCTGCTGCGTTGTGCCACGGACTCCGCTTTGAAGCTTATGTTGGAAGGGATCACCAGTCCACATGGAGAAAAATTTTACGCCGTGACCTTATATTGTACGGGAGACTGGGCTTGGATTATGAAGGCCGGCAATCTAGCCCGCGGATTTGGACACGTCATCAAGCGACCAATGAATGAACACACTCAGCCAAAAGGCATATGTCATCTATGCCGAGCAGGCCAAAGAGATGTGCCCTTCGAGAACTTCCGGTTCTATCAAGGGGATGAAGTTCCAAGCTGGCATTCCACTATGTTTCAAGAAGCGGCTTTCACAAGTCCACCGGAGCTATCCCGAATACCGTTTGTTCCAGGAAGAGAAGCAGAGTTCTTCGCATACGATCTTTTTCATGCCTACCACTTGGGACTAGGCAAGGCTTTCGCGGCTGGCATTTTGGCATACGCATCAGATTTTATGCCAGGAGGCAGTGTGGACTTGAGGTTTGAGCAATTGACTGCAGAGTACATGGACTTTTGCGATCGGGCCCACCAATCTCCATACTTGCTTAGCTTGAACAAGGACAACATTGGCTGGCCCGATCGCTCCACATACCCGAATGGGCAGTGGAGCAAAGGCCACGTGACAACGTCGTTGACGTCTTTCTTTGCAGATTGGGCTACGACCAAGCTTGCAGATCCCGCTATCAACGATGATTTTTTTGCGTGTGTGTTTGCAGGCCTGTCAGTTCATAGAAAGGGCCATGCATGGCTTGTATAGCAATGATGTTTGGTTGGAAGCGTCGCTTGCTCGAACCATAGCAGACAATGGCCTTCAGTTCATGGACGCATACCGAAGACTCAGCACTGCAGCCTTTCACTCCAACAAGGCATTGTTCCCTCACATGCCTAAGTCTCACGCAGTTGAGCATTTATGGTGGAAGCTGCGTTCCACCTCGTCTACTTCCAGATGGTGCCTCAGTCCTTTAGTGACTGCTGTCCAAATCTCTGAAGATTATGTCGGCAAGACTTCCAGACTGGCCCGCAAGGTCCATCCCATGCAAGCAGTACAACGTGTACTTCAGAGATCATTACAGGCATCATACAAACATTGGCACAGTGCAGGATGGATTTCAAAGTAAAATGTGCGACCGGAGTACGTGTGTGGGTGGGGGGAAGGTTGGGAGGGAGCATGCTGACACACAGTCAAAAACAAAACATCGTCTTTTCTGAAAAGACATCGTGTTTTTTTTGGGAACCTGCTTTTTCTCAGTGTCTGGAAGCTTCTGGTAGTACGAGTAGCGTCGCTCCGTTCGGTTCGCGATGCCCGTAATGGTTACGTTCGTCGCGTCCTCTTGCTCCGTTCGTTTTAAGGCCAGGAGCCCCGTTCGTAGCGTCCGATCGCTCCTACTTGGGTTTGTTGGATACTGGAGAGGTAGATTGCTCATCCACACCCACTGATTGCTTCGACATGCGCGGGTCCGGGTCCAAGTGACCGCCGAGCGAGGCAAGTGGATGGCGTCCGGCTTGGTGCGCCTCGGTAGAAAAACCCGACAAACAAACGTGACAAACATCATGAGTTATCATGTATGAATTCAATTAATATAAAGACATGTAAATATTGGGTGGATGATATCGATTGGATTTGATTTAGTATAGATTCAACTCCTAATAACCCCCAGTTGAGCACCAATTAGGCCACCAGTTGACCTTTTCCACAACCTAATCAACCACTCCTGTTTTCTCTTCCACAGCCACAAACTGGTCCATGTTTTGATTACTAAATGGCGCCCGTTGGTCACGACGTCGTAAGGGTCTCAGCTCCCGCCGACCGATGGTCTCGAGACTGGCCAAGCCACACGCTCGGCTCTCGATCGGTCAGGTCAAAGTAGCGCTTCGAGACGGCCTGGATCGACATGGCGGCACCCGCATCCCCAAACATCCGCAGGGTAGGTGGACCGTAAGGACCAGCACAGTGATGCGGTCAAGACCGGCTGCCAGGCCGTCTGCACAAAGCCGGTCAAGTTCCGAAGGCTCATAGGACCGAATGAAACCACTGGATGACTGTGGCTCTGTGGCTGGAAGTTCCTACTCCGACTAAGGGAAGCGGCAGAGGTTGGACCTCCCTCCCTGTGTTAAGACACATAGAAAAGCGGCCAAAGCAAAGGCCTTCTTTTGGGAACAATCACGGACCCCAAAGCACCCACATATATATATATATATGCATCCGATCTGAGTATTTGCGTGCATCTTGCATCTGCGTGCATTCATCTTTGGACCGAGTCATACCCCGATGCAAAGCCTAAAAAACCTCCAAAACCCTCTGGTCTAAAAGCCTGTCTGATTCAGAGACACCTCTTGTTTTTGGATCAGGTTGGAAGTCTTCCAAGTCCAATCCATCTCTCCCAACCTCCAAACCGAGCTCAGAAACAAACCCAGTCTCCCTCCTTCTCTCCCTCTCCACCTCCGCGCGGGCCATGCCGGTGAACAGCTCCGACAGCTCGCGGAAGCCACGGCGGTAGCTCCAGAGCAAGGTCCTCGCCGTGCTTCGGCGGGGGGATTCGCTGTTTCACGTTCGGTCGGAGCCAGCGAACGTAGGTCGGAAAGGTGTGGGAAACCGGTCGACGTTTGACTTCTTTTAAGCAAAAACTGGTTGAATCTGATTGAGCTGTTTGAGTGTTGTGTAACATAGTAAAACATCGTAAAACAAATATAGATTTTATGGAAACGGAAGCCGAATGGGTTTTTGGGAGAGTGGGGGAAGATGTGGAGGAAACGGAGGGGAAAAGCGGCCGCCAACTGTGGAGCCTGGTCCATGCCACGTTTCGCTAATGTTGACCAGGCTAACAGCAGAAAATGGCTGTAGCTTCTTGTTACTATATAGTAGCTCTTTGCTACTAGTAGTAACGCCTTTTGTTACTAGTAGCGATGCCCTTGTTCCGTTCGTAGCTTCTTGTTACTAGTAGCTATATAGTCCGGGATCCAAATGGCTTCCATGAGATGCCCAAATGAGGCTGCCCTTCTTGACAAATCAACCCCCCTACATCCCCCTAGCTTCGTACAATAACCTCATATATAGCCTCTATATAGATGCCATTAGTTACGATTCATCATGCTTACCCCGACACCCAAATATGGTGATTCTTCCCTCAAGGCCCACGACTGGTCCAGTCGAATACTGAATGTACAATTGCCCTTCAGGTACCGGAGACGCGCAAAAAAAGACGCGACAGTCCGAGACTCTGAGAGCGGAAGCCGAAATGGACCAGTCCGACATCCAACTGCTGCATCTTAGAGGTGAAATACGGTGATCCTACTTGACTCTTCCATTAAGAATTGCATAGAATGGCCTAAACTTAGAAAACCGACCATGAACCGCGGGAGAGGGGTGTCTCCTGTAGGTGTAGAATTGGCCCATGGTCAGCTCCCCGCGTGCGATGAACAAGCATGAGAGGCCTCGATGCTATCAGAATTGATCAGATGCTTGATCCGATCAGACCAGTCTATCCAGGTGCGAGTCTCTCAATGCAAAGTGCAACAGCAGCTTTTGGTCCAGAAAATTCTAGAAATGTCAAGCCTTCAAGTTGCATCGAGGGGCATAGGAGTGGAACATCAGTGAGAGCATCATTCCTTGGTTGTGCACATCTCAAAACCCTGAAACACACACCCAACCATTCCATGTGACTGGCATATTTACCTAGTTTCAGGGGTGAATGTATGGAGTGTCCCAGACCAGACACACAAGAAGACAGCCTTTGTAAAACACATGGTGGTTGTCCAATATTCTTGTTTATTGAAACGGCCATTCGTCGCGAAAAAAACATTAACATTCGCGAAACTTTCGCGAACCCTGTGTTTTTCTTTCGCGGGGATTCACCATGTCATGAAACCATTTAACCTGGTAGGGACTCGATTTCTAAATACAGTTTGTGGGGTTGCTATGGGCTACGGGGTTCCTCTGGAGCCGATTCATTCGCCGAAACCTTCGCCAGACTTTCGCGAAACTTTCGCGAAATAATCCCTGTGCTTTGGAGGTTTTTACGGCATACATAACATAGGGTGGACTACATGAAACAGGAAGGAAGCTTCACACGGATTCCAAAGTTGAAGCTGCTGACGGTCAGAAAAGGATGTGGTTATGCATGGGGCAAGCCTGAAGGCTCACCAAAGAACATACAATAAAAATTCATACTTTCGCGAATCTTTCGCGAAAAAAACATTAACATTCGCGAACTCGAAAAACAACTTTCGCGAGACCCACGATCATGTCATCCAAGGCTCTCGACATTAAAAACCCTTACAAGGACCTTTTGGATAACTCCCACATACTTTTCACCTTGGACGCTACACCGGTCTCATCCCAAGCGGCACAAGAGATGAAGTGAAACGCAGCGCCGTTTCCTTGTAAAGTGTTTGCTGAATCACCTGGACCGCAGCCGTCGACGTGCCGTCGACGCCGAATTGAAGGCGTCAGCCACACATGAGTGTGAGCCACATGAGTGGAGTGGCGGAGCAAATCAGTTGAGATGACCCCAAGTTGGGTCGGCCCCCACCGCGGTTCTGCAGCTTACCCTATGGCGACCGTCTTTCCGCAGATCCGATTCTGGCCTCCAGGTAGCTCTGGGTGGCCTTTCCATACTCCTCACGATGAAGGGCTCCCATTTGGGGACCTTGTCATTCCAAGCAAAGCACAAAAAAGCACCGGATGCCCGCATATGCCTGTGCTGTAGCAACAAAACGTGCCTTCCAGGACACCTTCCAGGAACACACAAATCTAAAACAAAGCAGAACGATTCCCAGCAGAATCGGTTCAACCACTGTCCCCACTCTGACCAGTGTCCCCACGTCTGACCCGTCCGACCCTCGTCCCACCTCGTCGTTTGGTCACTTCGGCGCTCCTGGGTCTCGGTCTCCTCGCCCCCGGCCAACTGAACCGCCCTCACGTTGGTGATGGCCTCTGCGGGCTTCTGCTCACGCGGACGTTTGGTTCGGCGAAAAGACATGGGCTGCTGGCGGAGTCTGGAGAGGGAAAAGCCATGAAAAGCCATGCCTCAGAAGTGCTAGTGAATCGCTGGCTCCTTTTGGGGTGGCTGCAGAAAAGGATGCCTTTCATGGCCTTTTAGGCAAGCTGGAAGAAGCGAATCGCGTTCGCTCGCTCCATTTTTGGGCAGCATGACGCTACTAGTAGCTCCTGGGCCCACTCGTTCCAAGATTGACCAGCATGATGCAACATGCCGCAAGAGTTGGACCACTCTCGTCCGTGTCGCTGGTGAAAAAAGCTCTGAAACGAATACGGGATTGATATAGTACTCCATGTGTGGTATGTGGGGTGGGAGTAGTAGGGAGACCTCCGAATAAATAGGTTATTGTTCCTTCTTCCAGGGGGATCGGAACGCCTGGTCTCGGTCTCCCTATGCCTATACATTAACATATATGCCTACATCGATCCTCTTCAACCACCCCAATGGCAATATAGTTGCATCATTTTGCATCAATATGCCAGCTTCATATTGGTCGTATCTAGTAGGTGATAGATGGTGATCCTACAGTACTCCAACATCCAACATGACTCCAACTCTGCTGTGTTCACGCAGTGCCCAGCCTCCGAAGCCACGCCATTCACCCTCGCCAGCGCGTCGTTTTGGAGCGCTCCGTAGCGGCCCACGACCTGAGGACACGACCGGAGTGTCTGTTCGAAAGGTGTTGGAATCCAAGGATAGGTTGTAGAACAGTCGTATTTTCATCTATCCCTACCTACATCCTGAACATCCTGCAAACAACCATATTACCAAAAAACACACGAAGAGATCCGTTTGCAGGATTTCCTTCGGCAAAGGCATCCAACTCAGGACCACGCTTCTCCGGTCTTTTTGACCAGAAAAAATGCCAGCGGCAATGGAGCCTTGTGTCGTTCAGCGCGTTCGACGTGGGCGCGTCGTTCGAAATGCACAGCGGTGTCCAACTACGTCTTCCGCCGTAAAAAAGTCCTGAACCCTTCGGACTTCGGCGCCAAAAAATCCACATGGCACCATAAACATGACCTGTAATACAGTGGTTCAACATGATTTTCCACCCACCGAGTGACAAGCTGAGATCTCTTGATCAGCGAATGGAAAGCACATGATAGCATCACAGAGCCTGGAAAATGAGGCAAACTTTGGTCCAACCCCTGTGTCATCTCATGACACCCTCTACCGGAGAAGAACAACACATCTACCTGGAAGAAAACCATGGTTTATTCCAAGGTCCAGGCATGTCCAGGCTGTCCAGGGGTCTGACAGGGTCTGAGCACAAAAGCATAAGCAAGCGCGTGCTCTACAACCCTGAGGCACCAGCGACACTGATGACCGTCAGCAGCAGGTGCTGCTTGGCCATGAGGACCAGCGAGACGACCTGCTTTGGACACAGCATAGTGAGGCACCAGCGACACCAACAATAGGATCCCTCCTAAGTTGATCGACTGCGTCCTGTGTCCACAAAAGCCCGAGGGGGTTATCTTCGCTTGAAAGCTTGTCCTGCGCCTGCATGGAAGCAGAGATCAGTACATATCAATGCACCAAAGTCTGTGATTGCACTCTCGAACCAAATTGATGTGGACCGGATCACCTTGATCTTCACTGCTAGGCAGTACAACTCTATGCAGTATCACTCTGCTACACTACACCAAAGGTTTCAGTTCAGGAAATCACTCCAACCGTTTATTGGAGTTGCTGTCGACAAGAAAGACAGATACAGAATCTTCAGATTCAATTTGATTCAATATTCCACAATCCCCAGAAGGGATTCACCCAATGGGCTTACTTACGGGCGAAACGCCCACCCCCCGGGCATGGCCCGAGCCGACGTTCGACCCGCTCCGGGATGGATCCGGGCCAAGCGGACGAGGTTCGTCACCAGGTTTTCAGGAGCTCGATTCAACACCTCGAAGCGAATTGGGTGACCAGAGCTCATCGAGCTCGTCATCTGCGTAACAAACGAAAAAGCACACAAACACCATTTTGACCACCGTTGATGAGAAGAATGGCCATTTGTTGTTCTTTTGAACGAACTGGGGATTTGAATGGATTTAACTTTTGGGATTTGAAGTTGAGCCAAAGGCTATGAAAAAGGACACATACCACTCACGGGTGAATGAATCTTTATCCATGGTTTCGTCTGGATCTTTTGGTCTCAAAGCCATTTTGAAGTCTCCTTGCAGAAGATTCTGGTTCCGAATTCAACCAGGTCTCTCAATGGCTCTCCAGTCCAAGAGGGAGTTCCTTGAGGGTATTGCTTCTCACATTCTGAATTACAACTTCTCAGTGTGAATGTGGAGGAGTGATTCACTTGAACACATCGAAGCCCAGAAGCCCAAGCCAGCCCAGAAGCCCAAGCCAGCCCAGAAGCCCAGTTTCAAGAGCCTTTCCACCACCGGTAAGAATTCGCTACATTGGTGAACCCCCGGAATTGGGGGTAGTTATAGTCATAGTCGGCCGGCAAAGCTGCAGAGCCTTTATAGCATCCCCCAAAAAAGCAGGTGCACGCATGTTGGGATGGGCGGGATTGCAATCCCGTGCCTCGCTAGGTGTCTTCATTTCCTTCATGTATGGCATTATTGAGTATGCAATGGTGTACGGTTGCAAACCACAAACGACAAGGTCTGCAAGACATCTCTGCAAGAGTTAAGATCCCTGCATTCTGCAACTGGTCTGTATCATTCGTCAACCTTCAACGTGCGGCAATGGCTTCAATCCGCAACACTTTACTTTGATTAAGGCTTGTTTTCAGTGTTGCCAACTCCACTGCCAAACAATCAAACTGGAAACACACCATGCAAAACAATCGGTGCTATAATACTATAAAGGTTCAATCAGTACCATGAAAGCAAGATTCACCCATTTGTACCCTCTCAAAGGTCCAAAGCATCATATATCCAAATCTGCTAGCAACCTTTCCACACATCCAATTACTGTTTCATGCACTGCATTACTTCTTTCTTATCCATGACATGCAACTTCAAACCCTTCGGCACGGTTGGTTCTGTTAAAAGCATGGCCTTCTTAGAATGGCTTCTTCGCTTCGGACACCGAAGACTCGCCGCCTGGACACCAAGCCGCCACTGGAGTTCTTCTCGAAAAATGCCACTTCTTGCCGCATCAACGCCTGTCTCCCGCTCCCTGTTCCGTCCCCTTAACCCGTTGCCCGCGTGGACGGGCGTCTTGCAGGTCGGTGACAGGTCTGGAGCGGTCTTCGAGTCCTTGCGATCGAAGTGTGTAAAGCGAAGCCAGACTTAGGTGAAAGAAGGGGGGGATGTGACTTAGATGTTTGTATTGACCTGGATTGCAACGGGTCATGTGCCCTTAGTCCAGCAAGCACTAAGAAGCTTTCAACCCCCCCCTCTGTCCAGACGTATGATTTTTTGTCTGAAGCTCAACGATGTCGCGTTGCATGGGCTTGTGTGGCAACCGATCGATTCTCGAACAGCTGCTGTCTCTGTAACAGCTTGCAACTCTTTGTGCAACCAGAAACGCAAGTAGAGGCATCACAGGTGCCACTAATGTGGCAATTCCACCCTTCAATCGGTAATTTTAACCGCTTCAGTTTGGATGCCAGAAATGACCAGAAACTCGCCAATGGCATGGCCTTGGCCAGCTCCAACACCAATTGCTGCCCGAAAGTATCAAGATCATGATCAAGAAGATATTCTCGTTGGAGAGAGGCTTCCAGATGTGATGTCGAAGACCCTTTGGATGAAGAGGCCCGGGTCTCCACTTGGAGCTGTAGATCGCCCCGTGGCCGTGGAAAATGCAGATTCAGCGACTCCCTCCGAGGGAAGGATGCCAGGGACTCCCTCCGTAAGACTTGCAGCTGCAGCAACATCCCCGAGCCGATCTTGAGCCTTCGTCGACCCTGTAACTCTGCCAACGAGACCTGCCGGGACTTGCAGCTGCCGCATCGCACGGAGAACAAGGAGTCGGGCGCCAGCCCTTCTGTCGACAACAAGCGCAAGTAGCGGGTGCCCACTTGCTCCAAGGCACTTCCATCTTCCGGCGCCTGAGCACAGCAGTTCATGAGTTGAGCCATGAAGTCGAAGGGATCTGGCGGCCGCTCAAGGAGAGTGGCCTCCAACAAAGTTCCAATGTACTGCCTGGGAGTTGCTGTCCAGGAAGCCGCGGAAAAGAACAAGTTTAAACAATAAATGCATATAGAACATGATATTTACCATGTGCATCGGGAAAAGATTGAAAAACAAATCACCCTATGATAGTAAACCAGGTTGCGTGTGCCACCGAGCCAGTTCCTGTGAGCTGACACCTCTCCGAGCACTGGACAACTCGAAGGAGATCGATCCTCTTCCCTCGCTGTGCCACACGTAAACCGAACATCCGGGATGCAATGCAAACGTCGCACTCATCTGCAGTTGCAGCAATGACACTTGGAGGGTGTCATCTGCAGTTGCAAGCCGTGGTCCATGGCTGAGGGGCAACACCAAAGCTTGTGCCTTCAACTTGATCAGCTCTTCTTGACGTCGAACACCTCTGAAAGAGCATTCCAGAATGGCATCTTCCAGTGGTCCCTCTGCAGCGGTCACGATCACTTGCAGTGCCTCTGCAGTCCGAGTTTTCTCGCAGGGTGACCCCATCGGACAGCCGTCCATGGCGTGGCCATGCTGCGAATTGCTCGTCCTGGACGCCGGATGGAGCTGAGCTGAACCTGCTGGACCTGCACCTTCCCTTCGCCCCAGCGTCGTCGCGCGAGCCAAGGGCACCGGCCGAGCCGGTGCCGGGCTCGGAGCCAAGCGTGTTGGTGGGAGACTCTCGGGGCTCGCGCTCGCCAGCTGTTGGATCGCTGCTTGCAGCTGCAACAGATTCTGCTGCACCTTCGCGCGCAGCATCGACAAGTGCGTCGGGGATTCAGGTCCACCCGCCGGCTCGGCCGCGGGTGAAGCGGTGGCCGTGTCGGTCCCGGGTGTGGTCCCTTCGGGTGCGGCCTCTTCGGGGCGTAAGAGTTGATCCAAGGTGTCCTCCAGGGCCGTGGTCGTTTGTCGTAAACGTGCACGAAGGAACTCATCTGGGACTGGCGGGACTGGCGGGACTGGCGGGACTGCAAGCTCAGCACTCTCGAAGTCAGAAGCTTCCTCCACTGGGTGAGGTGCATCTGTTTTAGAATCAAAGGGAAGCAAAAGCTCTGGAAGCACACGATCCGGATCACTAAGCTCACGCTTCGTGAAAATTCGATCAGGAGCTTCAAAGCCATAAGATTCCGGATTCGAACACCACCACTCAAACCCTTCGGACGCAGAGGCTTGCGCCGGTTGGATTTGCTTCTTGCGTCCCAAGTTGAACCACCTGAAGGAACGTCCGGCTTTTCCAGACATTCCCTCTTCGGGTGTGGCTCGAAGCCCTGTGGCTCCCATTTAGAAGCCTTGAGCAGAGCTACAGGACTCGCAGGACTCGTTCGGCGATACCGTTGTGATTCTTGGGAGGCTCCGTTTGGAGGTTCATCGAATCGGGAAAACGAAACAATACACCTATATGGGTTTTCCTCTCAGAGCTCATCTCCGCTGGGCTCAGGATGCGAGCAATTTTGGAGTATCCAATCTGCATCAGGTCCCTCCTTGCCAAGAAAACTGAATGCTGTGTGCCATGATTTGCCCTTATAGCAAAACGGCCATGCCATGACACCCCAAAACAAGTACAAAGAGCGTACGAGAACATGCTTCTTTTGCATAGGTTGCGCGCGCGGCTTGCCTTGAAGAGCTTTCGTCTCATCTGCATGGACATTCTCCACCTCCCAATGACAGCATTGGTTGCATTGTTTGACGTTGACAGGGAACATCAGCATCTTAGCAATCTGGAGTGTTGCGAACTGAGGTCCATTCCATTCCCATGGGCATTCTGTCGAATCTGCCGATTCTTCTCCTCTTTTGGAGGAAACTATAGGAAATTACATGTCAGAAGAATAGGTGGTGATTGAATATCAAAAGCGTCGTTGACTCCGCCCTCAGAAGTCGTTGACTCCGTCGTTTTTCTCCACGTTCCAAACAAAAGAAGCTCGCTTCTCAAGACGTCGTTCGCTTCTCTCTAGACTCTCTAGACTCAGACGATGTGTCCCTCCTTTCGTGGCCAAAATAAAGAACAAACAAACATCGTCTTCTCTCTCTCTCTCTAAATAAAAAAGGAGAAACCTTCGGACCTGGCAAGAGCAAACAGAATTCCTTGCACCACGTTGGCCTCCGGCAGTGACGACCGTGGAGGAAAAACACCCGGCGCGGTCGGGTTCGGACGAACAGGTCAACCGGCCAACCGGCGACGAGCAGCTCGCTTGGTCCTATTGGGAAGCACAATGGCTGCCCTGGGGGTTGTGATACAAAAAGCGTTGCTTATCTATCTTCTCCCTTTTTGTATATATAATATATAATATATATAATATAAAATATATATAATGAATATATAGTACGTTTATAGCTATAGACATGGTAATATTAGTTTACGTGCTATAAATGAATCTATATTATTATATAGTGCGTGCTATAAACGTCGATCTTCAATCTTGCATGTGGAAGCCAGCTCGAGCCCATGGAAATGCCGGGGTCGGTCTCCCATATCTTATCTTGAGCTACACACCCTCGACCACGGAGGCTTAGACATCAAGCCCTTGGGCTGTTGTTCCTACTACGTTCGCGTGCGAACCTGCAGCCGCAATACAAAAATAATCCAAAAGCATCCAAAAGCCATGAGATCTAGGCCTGAACATCTGCTGAATCATTTTAAACTAGGTTGACATCTCCTTGAAGATCTACCAGACTGGACCCGACATCGCGCAAAAAAATGCAATCCTTCGTCTTTAAGGTCTTTTACTTCAAACCAAGTGGCAAAGTACCCATACAAAGCTGCGGCAAAGTAGAATCCTCGCGTTCGCGTGCTGCGTCCGCGCCGAACAGGGGTGCGACCGCATGGTGTCGGATTGATTCCATCTGTCAGAAGGCCAAGAGATTGGTTTATTAAACCTGCTGGGTGGCTTTCAACTCACCTATTTACATATTAGTCCAGTGGGATCCAATATTCCAAGTCTTTGAACTTTGAACACCAAAATAAGTAAAATATAGACCCCGGATTGCCCTGGCTGGCTGGATCGACTGGAATTCGATGACTGGAGGTTTGAGAGGCGAACTTGGCAAAAGCCCCGATTCGATGGGGCATCGATAGAGAACTGAGAGCGTGGGACGAGTTTTAAGTTAAAGAATGGAATACGTCAGACCTCCGCGGAGGGGGAATGGAATGGAATGGAAACTCAATGGAATGGCAGGGGGGGTGGCTTCTTGGATCTTTCAAAACAATGCTGACACTCCTTGAAAGAATCCAAGGACTAGCTGTTCTGGAACTTGGCCCCTGGAAGACCCTGAAATCCGCGGACAAAGGGAACCGACTCATCAGCTTCACGAAACTTGTTGGAGGAAGTGTTTTCTAAGAGGTGTCTTTCAGTGGCTTCCATACTCAGCAGATCTCACCTCCCTCTCTGCGCCTGCAATGGGTGCCAGTGCATGGATCGCATCGGTGGTGCCCGTGCCAGCAATGTTGATGGCAGTGTCCAGAAGACGTCCAGTCAGGAATGCCCTCGGTCTTTTTCGGCCAACTTCAGCGGTGGAGGCGGTGGAATGTCATGTCGGGTTGACATCGTTTGACAAACTTGCGACCAGATTGAACTCAGCGCACATGTGGAAAGAAGAAACAAGCCAAACACATCTATCAATCGATATGATATCGATATCCACACCTCAAGTGAAAAGCATTGAAAAGCCAATGTTTTCGATTGGAACACCTGCAACAAGGTGTCTAAATGGCGGCGGAAAATGGGCTTACAAATCAGCATCTGCAAAGGTCAAACCCCTTAGTCTTTCCGAACTCTGTTTGTCTTTCTGATTTCTTTCTGTTTCACTCAAAAGCACGAACAAGCCGAACTCACCTCGCGCAAAAAGAAGAGAACGAAAAAGCGGTTCGAAGCGCAGCGGAGCGCAGCGCCTCAACGATGCGGTCCCAGCCAATGACATCGAAATGAGGGTGGCTGGAATGAGAAGATGCGGCTGAGCCTGATGCGAAAAACCGCTGCACCAGCGTGAATGCGAGTGAACAGTGAACACATGTGCCATGTCTTGGACCATGAACAAAAACACACAACGTTGGACCATGAATCTCAAGACATGACCAACTCAAGTGACATGAATTCGCCTTTTTCCACCTCGCCACTGCGAAATCTGCGAAGTCGCACACCTTTGATACTCGGATGTGAGGTATATGGGGCCGGGAAGCCTTTGGAATCCACAAGCCGAAGAGTGGGACGTCGGCAGGCCGAAGAGAGTTTCACCAGAAAAAACATCAAACACATCCAACCAGCACCACCCAGTTGGGGTGGTTTATAGACCCCCTACTAAATAGACTCGTCTTTTCCATCCAATCGCCACCCGTGGCGAGTAGGTGGTGCTGGTGTTCCGACCATCGCCACCCATGGCTTGATGGAAACGTGCGAATCCGTACGAACGAAGCTTGGTGGACCGGTCCTGCCCGCCGGTGCCCACCGGTCCTGCCCACCACGGTCTTTCACCGAGTAAGACGTAGATGCACCGTGCATGAAAATGCGACGGGTTCCACCCGGCAAACTCCTTTGACATCATGGTGAATTTGGTGGAAGTTTGCAGAGTGATATCTGATTTTGTTGGGTTCTCCCCCCCTTGAATTGGAAAAACGTGGTCAAAGCCACGTGCGTGCTTAATGCAGTGGGTCAAAACGATTCAAGACATTGATCTTTCTGGACAACTGGACAATATGTTTTGCTGTTGAGGTGTCTGATTTTAACCCGCTAAAAAAAACACCTTCCGCATCACATAAGCATTCTCAGCAACACGCCAACCAACCCAGATACAAGAGTTGTTAGGGTTGCCATCTGCCGAAGAAATCCGTTCATTGTCACGGTGACCCCGCAAACGATGAACCCCGCGTGGCTGTCTTGGATAAAGCGCACGAGATACTGCCCAGTGAAATCACACTTGTCAGCACTCTGCAGTTGATTGATGAAGGGGGCCACCTCGCACGAGTCGAAGGATGGAAAAAGATGCACAGCATGGTCATACAGAAATGCATCAGCGAAAGCATGTGGTCAAAGCTTGATTCGGAAACTAAAAGGTGATCTTCCGAAACTTTACGGTTTTCTTCGGAAACTAATCCTCGGGAGCTAATGGTTTTCTTCGGGCCCATGTACGTCACCAGGTAATTACGTCAATAACCTACGACAATAACCCACCCACCCCACCCACCATAGTGCTACTTCATCCAAGTTCGATGCAATGTGGAAGTCCTGAATAAATCTGAATAATACTTTCTGAAGCATGCAAGAAAAGTGTCTGAAGATCGCGAAATAGTTTCTGAAGAGCGCGACATAGTTTCTGAAGAATAGTTTCTGAAGAGTAGTTGCGGAAGAATACCAAATAGTTGCGGAAGAACAGTTTCAGAAGAATGGAGAGTTGCGGAATAGGACTTTGTTCCATGTGTCACGTCACATAAGTTACTGTCTCGTAGCACCTAAAACAACTGGATTGATCCAACGCTCTCCGGATCCAACATCAAATCGCCTGTTCGCACTTGTTGGTGAGTTTGCCTCCCTGTGCCAACAATCGCGCCGAGACAAAGAAGAGCAGCAACTCAGGCAACAATGCCAGCAGCTCCGGCGTTTTCTGCGGAGGATCAGGGACGAGAGTCGATCGATTCTCTTGTGGTTGGACCTTCAAAGTGCAAAACATGGAGATTTGAGGGTAGTCCAGGGTATTCGACTAGAAGGTGCTGAATGTACCAACACATGTGTATACATCTCCTTGGGAGAAATTTAAGATGGCTTCGAAGTGAGTTTGGGTGTTTTAAGGCATGATGATGTGCTCCATCTTTGCTTCATTACAGACCTACTCTGGATTTTCACTGGCCGCTAGCTGCCTTTACCCTAGAATCTTCACGAGAGTGTTGCCGTTGTAGCAACAGTGTCATCGTTTTCACCATCGACCAGCGACATCCACATAAAATCACTCTTGAAACTCAGGCCAGGAAAATGTAGACTCTTGATTGATAGAGCCCGTACAATTGGATTGTAGAACCTGGGTTCTTTTAGTAATCAAGCGTCAAGAGAGTCTACCTGAAAATGCGTATATCATCCCAAAATGCCCACATGATGCCCACATGATGCCCACATGCCTGCAGGCGAGACGTTTCCTCGTTGGTCCACACTAACCAGCTGAGGGTGCCAGCAAGAGTTGAGACCAAGCCGATGTTTCCGCACATCTGGAGAGCCATGAAAGAGGAACCCAATTCCCTTCCCACACTCTTGATCAACGCCTGCATGGCATTCCAGTTTCTGACCTTGCATGTGTTTCATCGTGAGGTAGAAAAATAAGAACACATCCTTCATGAGATGTCCTTCGAAACACCGAGCTTTGACCCTTTTTTCTTTTCCATTTCGCCCCAGTGCTCACTCCAAGAGTCTCCAGAGGCAAAGTCCGCTTCGATCAGCATATCGCTACACCAGCGGTCGATGGTCTTGCTCAAGCCAATGAGCAAATTACTTTGGAAATGCACTGCACCCATCACCATCAAGCTGGCGGCACCAAACGCAAGGCAATCGATGGCGGCCGTGGCATGGGACAAGTTCCGGGCCACCCTCAAACGCCTCGGTGGCCAAATCCAAATCTGCAAAAACCGTTGAGATGAAACAGGGGAGCTGGGGGCCTTCCACCGACCATCCCCCAAAAGGTTTTTGATCAGAGATTTGCATAGATTTGCTCCGTTTTTTCTCATGTCAAGTCTGTGCGTTCCAGGCAGCTCAGGATTCAGAATCTGATCCTCTGCGAAGGATTCCGCGATCTGAAAGGCCGTGAAGCCCAGCCACAGCCCAGAGTGCCAAGGCGAAGCGATACTCGAGCTTGGCAACGGTGGACCAATCGAGGCCTTGCCCACAATCCTGCACAAACTGGTCCAACTTGTCCACGGCCAAAGACAATTCAGCAGATCGAAGGGTTCTCGACTGTAAGCAGGTCAGAAGCAAAGCGACCATACTCATGAACAATGTGGAGCACATGGTCAGTACAAAGCTGCCAGGGTACACATGTCCATAGCTCAGAAGGATTCCGGCCATCGACACTTGCGAGAGACTCAGAATCAAAAGCCCAGCCATTGCATAGAACGAGCTGTGCTGCAGTTTGGAGAAGAGTCCAACCCCAATCTGATTGGCCAAAATGTCACTCTCTTGAATTTTGTCGCATCCCAAGATTTCGGTCTGCGAATGCTTTGCGAGCATCGACAGCTGTGACCCACGAGCACTGTTCGTACCTGATTGACACTGGTCAGAAATTCCCAAGCGTTTCTTACGCGTGCAGCGTCTGAAAAACTATGCATCTACACTCTAATTGAAAACCTGGATCATCTGTTCCAGTTCACCAATAAACTACCCTAATTGTTACCAGACTGGACCTCCAAACACACCCAGGACGGATGATCCTGGTTGCAAATATTCTTGCCGTCTTCCCAGTGTGAATGGCTCTAAGGAATCTTCAAGCCATCAGCCCGCAGGGGGTTGGCCAGAACCCTTTTTTGAGGAGATTTCTCCATGGGGGATTGACCTTGACAGTGTTCTGAATCTACTTCCCGAGGCTTCCAATACAGGCTCCTTCTTTGCCGGAAGGAACGATGAGTCGGAGGAGATTCGCAAAAAAAGAGTCCCTCTTCAGAGGTGGCCAAGTGATGCCACCCAAAGAACCCCCCAAAAAATAACGGGAGAAGAAACCCACCATCCGTGGGTCATGACCCATCCGTCAAATCCGTCGCTCGAAAATCGCTGTCAGCTCACCCATGCGCACCCATGCGATGCCCTGGCCCAGTTGCTGATGCTGGGTCTTCGGAGAACTTTAGCTGTTCCAACAACCACGGAAGAAGCATTGGACAGGATCTGTGGAACCGAATCCTAACTGGCAGAAGCAACACCGTGAACTTCTTTGAGACAAGAAACAGAACACTTCTTTTCATGGGCAAAAAAGAGAAAAGCATAAACCATGCGGCCCACGAGACGCCTATATTAATGAATTTGTTATACAAGTATTATATACCTATTGGTTGTACACTTGGGGGTCATTCACCGAGCGCAAGGCTATGTTGAGAACCCCATCGAAGGTCGGAGGCTCCCATCATCTCCAACCCTCTGGGCTTCTGTATGACACAGGCGTATGGTGTATTGTGCATGGTAACCCACCTCATACATGGTGACCCACATCAGCTCAGCGTCTAGTGGCGCGACAGGATCCATCTGGTTTGGTAGGGGCGCCAGCAGTTCCACTTGCGCTTTCGAGCTCATCGGCCTGATGAACTGGGCTTCCAACTGGGGTAGAACTCTACTGCCTGGGGGGGAGGTGCCGTTTGACCTGCGACCGCCATCCGCATCAGCAGGCACCGTAGATGACCGTCCGTAACGTTACACGGTCGCATAGCTGGACCCGTCTCTTCCAAACCTGTGGGGTCAACCAGGATCCATATGGATCCATATGGATCCATAGCCGATCACCGTTTTCTGTCCTACATCTTCAATGTTCACTCCCCTGCTAATATGACCCACATGCCCTTCTATTGCCATCACTTCGAAATGGTCAAACCGGCCGTCAAACCCGGCCGATGCAGTTGGACCAATGAGTGTATAATATAATATCTCAAATGCGATCTGACGCGCATCTTGGCAAATCTTTCCAAGGAACATAGCCCCTAGGCCCCCAAGTACCTGCTGAGAAGGTGTTTGGGGTGGGTTTGGAGGGTCTAAGTACCTTCTGAGGAAGTACTTGGAGGTGTAGGGAGCACTCATACGAATTTGGGCGGAAAAGGTCTCAGTCGAGACTCAAGACTCAAGACTCACCTCCACTGACCCCCATCCACCAACCAAGTGGATCTTCTTGGGAACTTGTTGACTGGTTCCAAAGCAAGAACACATCGGATCTCAACGAAAAATATTAATGACAGAGATACATGAATACATCGAACAGCATCATCATCATCATCATCAGCAGCAGCATCATCATCAGCACCATCATCATCACTCGCCTCAAATGTGCGCTCTGCGTGAAGGATTTTTCCATTGCCCTGATGGTGGCGATGGACCTTGGCAGCGTCTCGGAGCCTGAGCACTCACTGTGAGGCTCGGTCTTGCTTCGCGGCATCTCATTGGAGTTCTCAAACTTCGGCTTCCGATCTTGCTTCCGGCCTCCTGGAAGGTCGGTGGAGTGGAGAGCACATGGAAAACAAGTGGAGTGGAAATCAACAAAGCGTGGACATCAACACCTACCGGCTGTTTGAGTTTTCACTCGTTTTGATGTTTTGACAAAGAAGAAACTAGAAGAAGAACTACGCAGCGTTGAAGAACTGGGGGTGTCTGCAACCAGGTTCCGGAGTGATTGGTTCAAAACGTCTGAAAGGGCAAGAAGAGTGACCTCAACGGAGGCTCGTTTTGGTCAAGTATGCTTGGACCAGAATATCTAAAGAAAATCCATCTACATCAATCTAAAAACATATACGGGAAAAAAGGAAAACGAGCCTTTGCTGTTTTTTCCAAGAGGCCTGCTCGCTGTGTTGACAAAGCTTTCAGCTCCTCTCGGATCGTTGCTGTCTTTGACTTCCACAAGAAGGTTGAAGAGGAGCTGCGCGCACTGCTCGCTCAAGCTCGTCTCCCAACCCGAATCCATGCGTGATATCCATGCGGATGCGAGGGATTTCTGAAAACGGGGTCTCAGCAAAATCATGCAAAATCTGAGCCAATGGTGAGCGGAAGGCAGCAGTTCAGCGAATGCACATCTTCCCTTTTTCCCGCTTTTAGTGTGCTAAGTCAATTGCCTGCCATGCCAAAAATGTTGCAAGCATGTGTGACATAGCCCCCCATCTAAGGCCGTCTTCCCATGTCCAACCAGCGAAAAAGACATTCAACTGGCCCGTTCACCCGGGGCCCTAAGACCATCTGCGAGCGACTGGAACCCATGGGTTACGTTGGGGAAACTGAGTGTCTGGGAGTCCCTTCGTTTCTGCCACGAACACACATATCGTCACATCATGGGCCGGTTCATGCACACTGCTTGGCTCGCGCTGCGAATCGCACTGGCCTGGTCTCGGAACTCTTGCCATAAGCGTGGGATGACCCACCGACCTGTGAGCAATCGAAAGAAACCACCTGACCATAAGGTGGCTTCTGGTAAATCTGGGAGATGAAAGGTGGATGTAGGATGATACAGGTAGGTCAAAGATCCACACCCTTCAGCACGGCTTCCAATTGAACAAGACGGCCAGCCTTCACCTTTGCCAGCATCTTTGGGCCCAAATGTCGTGAAACTGGACTTGCGCCTCCAAGGCCAACAAAATCATCAAACATCACCACTGCTCCGTACGTTCGCATAGTACTGTATAGTGTGCTTCCATCCACCGAAGGTCAAAGAGCTTTAAAGCTTTTGTAGCGCGGTAGCGCGCCAGATCGACGGATCACTGCGCCGCCACACCTCGACCAGTTCTTTCGAGCGCACGCAACGACCTCAGTCGACTCGATCAACTGCGACTCCACAGCTCTGTGCCGAGGCCGATCGTTCTTCGGTCCAAGGGGCGAAGGTGGTGCCCAAAGCCAGGATCCCGCTGCCTGGGCCGAGAACGGCGCCGGCGCGCCCGGTCAGGCGGCGAACTTCAGGCTTGGTTTTTGCTAACTTAAGGCCATGGCGAGTTTTTGCGCCGTGGTTCGTTTTATTGGCATTGATTTTCTTGTGGAACAGTTCGATTGAAACGCCCCAACGACGTTGAAAGTTGAGAGTGCCAAGAAGCCACCCTCAGATTTCGTGAGAACTTCAAGGTCCTAGGCGTCCCAGGTCCCTTGTGAACCCCCCCCAAAAAAGACCTCAAAACACCATGGGCCATGCGATCTCATGAGGTGAATTCACACAACGTTCACGAAAGCTGCGCCTCGGCCAGGATCAGCTTCAGGCTCCTTGAACACACAAATTGAGCTGCGCATAGCTGCGCAGAGCTGCGGCCTATATCTTTCCAACTCTAAGCCAATGATCCATTGTCAAAATACATGTTAAAATATATCATGCACAATCTGATGCACCCCATGCCTGCCCATCTTGCTGCGCCAGCCAAGCAAGCCTAGCGTTTGTTTCGGCTGTGACTCCTTTGGGCTGTCCACCCAGCCGCTTCCCGCCCCCCCAACGCGTCGCCACGGAGGAGGACACTTCACGGTCAGTGACCAGTCGACCGATGAATCGGATTCGCGAGTCGAGTCGAGTCGAGTCGAGGAGGGCTTCTTCGAAGGACCTCCGGAGCCTGGAAAGGCATGGTCGGACTTCCATCATGAAACATATGAAGACTTCTGCAGCTAAGTGGACCTGGCCAGTCGGACCTGGGGGTAGAAGACTACAGATGATGCCGGGCCATCCGGAGACCAAAGGCCACCCACGGCCGGCCGTGATCCCACGCACGTCCTGACACCGAACCTGAAGGATCTCGCAGACCAAATGCTGGGCACAGCGGTGTGTGCCCGCGAAGGATGGACCGGAACTCAGGACCGAACGATGGACCGGTCGAACACACATGGCCGGCATGGCCGATCGCATGGCCGAACGGAAAAGCTAGTGGAACAGCTGTCAAACACGAAGTGTGTACACCATTTTTGGGCTGTCCAAAGTTTGTCAGGTGTTTTTGAGGGCAATGAACAACAGTAGAGCTCAGACTCTGATACATTTTGGGAGAAGATTCCGCCATTTCGCTACGTAGACCTACGCCTTGCATCTCAAGTTCACCACATCCACCGAACTGCAGATGGCGCAGATGGCAGCCACCCACTGGTGCGACACAACTCGAAGAAGGCTTTGACACAAATAAGAAACACCTAGTTAAGCCCTACACAGACCCTAGTGCGCCGGCGCCCGGCTGTTAGGCGTAAGCCTTTAAATAATAAACAAGCATGCAGCATGATTCTGAAAGCCAAGCTCAAGACTCATGCTTGGATGACATCCGCCATGCTGCAGTGTCTTTGCATCTCTCTATCTTTGCACTCTCTTATTCTTGACCTATCGCGTGCACTTCAGACTTCGAAGCCAATGCAATCTTTTACATCCACTCCATTACCTCCGTCGTCCAACATGGCGTCCAACAAGTCCAGGGTTCACATGAAAGGAAAGATAGATCAGAACGAACGCTGTGGCCCTCCGTCAAAGCGAACGAGACTGCATGAAAGCGTATGGATTGGAGAGTGAACATGGCATCAATTGAGCCATTTGGCTGCAGTTCGAAGGGAACACTTGCAGAGGCTATATGCATGCGATTGCCGGAGGCTCTTCCGTGTGCGTTCGCCTGTGCAGTGTCTAATCTATAGTTGTTTAAATTCTAGCCATGCTCCAAAAGGGCACCAAAAGCGCAACAACATGCCACATGTCTTACGCTCCATGTTCTCCGCTTGTCCCTCTGGCACCCCAAGAGAACGCCCCAAATCACGAGGCAACGAGGTCAATGCTCTTTTTGGGGATAAACTGACTAAAGCAAGAGGTGCACCATGGTGCGCCTCTCTTGCAACAAAACTAAGTCCCCTGCCCCATCCTCCCCTGCCCAATCGAATTATGGATTCACCGCTGGACGGTTCACAGATTTATGAACCGTCTTTCGAGCTTACCTTTTTGGGAAGGGGGGGAGTTCATGAGGGAAGGATGGGGAAGGGGTTTCTCATTCACTGAAGCTCATTCATCTTTCTCACGATCTTCACAAAGCCCTAGGATTCGCCTGGCGCCTGCCTCACATTCCTCTGCACCCTTGACATCACCAAGCTGCTTCTGGCAAGTTGCAAGGACACGTTCTTTGAATCAGCTCTGAAAAACACGCTGCAAGACAGACTAGTAAGGAACTCCATGTATTTGCCCGAATCTATTGTCAACACCAACCAAGAAGGACTTGCGTGTGAGTCCAAGATCGTGCGGGATTTCATGCTTGAAAGACTAGCAAGCTTCTACTTCTACTTCAAGCTCCCAATCTCTTTCAGAACAAACCGTCCTGTGCAATGCTGAGGTTCTGCAAAACTCTAGCACCCATCTCTGTCTCCAACATCTCATTCTCTTCCAAAATCTCCAATGCCACCTCGAAATCCGCGACCGCCTCCTCTAGCAACTGTCCCTTGGCCTGTCACTGTCGCGACCGTGCCGAACGGAAATGGAGAGATCTCTTCAGCACACCATTTCAAGATCCATCTTAAGGCATGCCTTTTCGTGGGCAATTTGTCCTCACTTCGCTCACTTTGCTCAACTCAGAACTTGCATGCAGAATTCCCAAAGTCCATCGACAAAATGCACAGGGTATCTCTTTTGGGAGCTTATATACTTGCTGTTTTTCCCTAACTCCTTTTGAAAGACATCAAATCAGTAAGAACTGTCATTTGCTGGTTGCTCGCGTCTGCCAAACCCGAAGACTAGCTACCTAGCCTTCCTTGCTTGCCCCACAAATCAAGCTGTCAATCCCTGGATCTCTGCGACGGCCCCTGCTGCAGGTGCCTTAGCAATGCCCATGTTGACCAGGATATCCGCGCCCAAACCCGTCTGCAGGAAATCACCTGACAGAGCACCACATGATCTCCAGTCTCAGTCTGCATCTCCAGTCGTCATCAGTTTCCGTGCAAAAAAACACCAACCCTGGACTCCATCATTGGTCATCTGCATGTCATTTTCCTCACCGCCCAAGGGCCTTCTTCAGCAACACTGCGAGCTTGCTCGTGATCCTTCAGAGCATCTTCAAGGTCATCCAGCTCCGCCAAGGCCAGGCCTCTCGTGGTTTCGCACGACATGCCCAAGCAACCCCTGACTTCGTTTTGACTTCGTTTTGGAGAGAAAACATCACTTCGCGACCAACAAAGAATGGTCTGGCCTCGCTTGGTGAGAAGCAAGGCTAGGGTGGTCTCATCTCCATCATAGGCTTCCTCCGACTGGCAGGCCAGTTCGTAGGTCTCCACCGCTTTGCTGGTGTCCTCCGCCTCGCACCGGTGTGAACGGTGTGAACCATGCATCCGACCGGTGAGCCGAGTCTCGGTGTTCTTAAACCAGGAAGAAAGCTAAAACCACTGAAGTTGGTCGATCAGTGCTCGATCAGTGATCTATTGAAATGGGACTTTGGGAGGCCCTCTTTGATTCTAGACAAAGAAAGTTCTGATCAGATGTGACCTGGGAATTCTTTTAAAGGAAAACCAAACGGCCACGGACTCCACGGTCTACGCGCCACGGCTCCACGGTCTACGCGCCTCGAAATAGGCATCGGCCAGTGCGCCACAGACTTCGGTGGCAAAGGAAGAGGAGAGAGGCCCTTGAGCTTTCAAAGAGGAGGCAGCACTTTCAAATGACTCGATAGCTTGATCCAAGTCCTCCATTTCCTGAGAGTCGACATGTCGTTCCCGAAAATGTCTGGCGGTGTGTGCACCTACAAGCGGTATGGGCCTGCATGAAACCAGTGAAGCAAACAAGCAACAATCTGTTCGATGTTGGAAACATATGTCATACGAGCTCCTTTTCTTTCTTTAATTATTGCTGTCTCCACTTTTGGTGATGATCAAGTGTAATTAATTAGTGTATACATCAGTGTCTCCAACTGACAACTTGCTTGCCTTTCTCGCCCCGGCTGCAGCTTATGCTCGTCTTTTGGCCCAAACATATGGGCCCAGCTTGGCTGAGCCATCGCTCCCGTTCAGCCGAAGCCTTAGCCGCCGAGCCACGGAGTAGCACACACCGAGGTTGTAAAAGACCTCCGCCGCGGCCTCCGTGTCTTGAAAGCCGCGGCCTCCGTGTCGCTGGATCAAAGCTCTTCCGCGTTCTAAGTCGGCCAAGGCAGCCTCAAAGCGAGCGAGTGTCAAAAGGTGCTCCACACATAGAGCCACAAACTAGATCATGCAAACAATAAGCAATGCACATTTCAAGAGATCATTGCCATCTGCTCTCTTTACAAAGGATATTATATATTATAATCTGCCTTGTCAAGTTGCACTTGGAAAGGAGATCCGCTTTTCAACCTGCCTTCATTTGGGTCTCGCCATAGAGCAGGCTCTCGCTGCCGCTATTTGCCAGTCTTTGCTCACCCCGAATAAACTATATGACAAGTCCAACCGCAACTCCCCAACTCCTCTCTTGGAGTACCACAACCAACTACAACCAACCACCCAAACAACACTGAACGTCAACCACACTGAAGTCCACAGCAAGGCTCTTCGAAGTTCCCGGCTCGGATGCTTGCTTGAGCCATCAGTGCATTGAGTTCCACCGCCAAAAGTGTCTCGGTCCCCGCGTTGGCCTGGCTTCGCCCTGCTTCGCCGCCCCGAACGACGCGCGACTTTGCCCCCCTGAAACGGAAACCGAAACAGTGGTCAAAGAGGACCCCAAAGTGGCTGGGTTAAAGTGATTGGGGAGTGACATGGAGTCCCCATGAGTTGCCTGGAAGTTTCGGGACTCCTAGGTTGTTTGGCAATGTTGGAACCATTTGGAACCACTCTGCTCTCGTCTGCTCTCTGTGGCAGTGGTGCTGGTGTCATCACCTTTGATTCGCAAACAGACCTTAAACAGCATCAAATGAATTAAACTATATTATTACCTAGGTATCGTGACAAGGACATGAAATGTGTGGCGGTGCAAGTCTGAATGGAGTTTGTGAATCAGGTTTTACAGTGCCTGGGAAGGGGGGAAGCGAAAGTCAGGAGGAACCCGCAGGTGACTTTTCGGCGCTTGTATGGAGGCTCGCGATGAAAGCGGGCCCCGCGAAGCCCCCTTCTATTGGCAGAAAAACTCAGGCATCGGAGGGGCCAAGCGGGACTTTGCCCTGAGGTAGAGCTTATCTGGATGCAACCCGCGGTCATTTGGGTCCACTCCCGTCCGGAACCGTTTCCACATTCTTGGCTGGTGGGGCTTTACTTTTCTATCTATTTGGGTGTGGCAGAGTTTTTCACGTCGAGTCTTGGGAGGCGCACCGATTCACTAGTACTGTCTGGTGCTTTCTCAGCGGAACACGCAATGAATTGAGCGGACAAGAACGTCTGAGCCGCATGTCACCCAAATGTTCAATACGTATGCGTCACCTAAAGGGTGTATTTTGTCCACTCTAGTGCGGTGATGATGCCAGTGATGCAATACTTCAGTTGACTTGCATCTTCTGCATCACCAATCCACAAAAAAATAGCAGGCTAACGCGGTTTACATCAATTTGTCCTCCATCTTCCCCCCCAACCCTGAAGACTAACTTCGTTCGCATCAACTAACTTCAGCCTAGCCTATCACCTACCTTGTCGTAATCCAGAGCTATCCAGAATCTATAGATGGCCGATTGGTAGAAATGCATGCATGTTGAAGAGTGTTGACGGTATCAGTACCACTTGTTTCGCACGAGACGGCTGGGAGTCAACCTGAAAAAACCCCGACACCTTCACCCCAAAATCTGAACATGAATCATGACCATATATATCCTTTCTATTCCTTTCTGGCTTCTTTTTTACCATAACAGGATTCCACGCACCCCCCCATTTGCACACGCCATGCGGGCCGAGTAGAATGCGAAGCGTCCGTTTGATGAGGTTTCCCGGGCCTCCAAGACCTTCCAGGCTTTTCCCAGTGCATCTCTGGTTTCTTCGAAAGCGCTTGGAGCAGTCGAATCGCCTGAAAAAAAACAGAGATATGGGCCATACATATGGCCATATTAGACAGGTCAGCAAGGTCATTCTTGTAATTTCTTGTATATACTCTATTATACTTTTAGTTCACCAGTTTCACCAACCGGCCAACAAACCAACACGTCTTTCTCTTCGCCCGAGTGTGGGTCAAACCCTGCCAACTCCGCCTCACAAAAAAAGGCAGAATAGCATAGACTAGCAAACACTCCTCCATTTTTGCAGTGTTTCGGAGTTTCGTTTGGAGCGACACATGGTGAAACATAATACTGTCTTTTTTCACAGAACATGCCTGTTGATCTGCGATTCTGGTTCAGCTCGCTCGTGTTCGCGAGTGTTGCACGCGTGCTTGCGTGTACCACGTGTGTTTGCATTCCCAACGTAAACCGAGGACGCATGTGAACAATCCAAAAAAAATCACAACGGTTCTGCTGGTCTTTAGATTTTCCCAGATTGTAAGTATCCTCTACTTGATGAAGTTGTTCGCACAGTTCAACCCCCTTGGTATGGAGAGGTTTTGCTCGCAACAAACTGATGTTGCAGGCGAGGGACCTTCCTTCTGCATGAAGGCCAAGCCAAAGTTCATCCAAAGCTTGACACCCGACATGGAATTGAGCAAATCCTTTGTTTGGAAGACTTCTTGGGCGTGTCGCAAATGTCTTAGCGCCAAATCAGCTTCACCAGCTTTTACATGTTGATTGGCCAAGTTTACTAAGAGATCTGCTCCTTCTTCTGTGTCAATGGCCTCTGCTTCCAAGAAGAGTTTCCTCGCTTCTTCAAAGCCTTCAAGAGCTTGAGCTGGCTTGGAAGCGGCCTCGAGCGTGGCCATGTTCGCCAGCAAGCAGGCGGCCGAAAAGCCTTTCAAGCCATTTCGATCTTCCAAGATTTGCCGCGCACTGCGGTAGGACGTCAACGCCTCCTCATATCCGTTCAACTCCACCTGTGCCGCAAACACTCGTGGGCCACATCCACAATTTAGAAAAAGAAAGGACACGGTCTTGTGAACAGCAAGGAGTACGGCAAGGAACAACCTCGGAAATACACTTTGCGCTGCAGTGGCAGGAGCAATAGTACTCCTTCCAAATCTTGCTTGACGACAAGACAAAAACAAAGGTGGTTGTAACCAGTGAACTTTGCAACCAGAACAAAAAAGAATGGATGTGCATTCAAGAACTGCAGCCCCCAAAAAAATGCAAAAATCTGTGTTTGTCTGGAGAAGGATTGCTGAGTGGAAGACGATCGAACCTACGAGATGTTTCACGCCATAACTGGAGTCCTGTGCCAAAACGATGACTGTGGGCCACCCCCACGCGACGTCGAAAAACGCGTGGCCCAACTGCGCTTCAACATCGCTGCGCTGTTTTACAGCGACGCCCGCCTGCAAGTCACCCAGCTTCTGCAGCAGTGCTGCGCCCTCGGCAGAATCCAAGGCACCCTTGGCATCCTGAGGCGAGCCCAAAGGGTTGACCTTTTTACGGACCACGATGGTACAAATGGAGAACCAGAAACGCGAAGAAAGAGTTCTCCTACATTCTCCTGCACCAACCAAAAACCAAATCGCTTGAAATGGGATCCCTCCAGTATGCTTTTCCTGATCTTTTCCACTGGTTTTAAAACAAAAACACCTCGTCTTCGGCCTCTCCTTCTTTGCCACCGCCATCACCAAGTTGCTTTCCGCGCCTGGAAGTGACTGAAAGGATCGATGGTTGTTTTTTTGGGAAGGAAGCTGAAGGAAGGCACCCCACGGATTCCGCGGGGAAGACGGGGGCAGCCCCGCCCCAAACCGGTTCCAACCAGGCCTTCCAAGTCATCCAATTCAAACTGGGCATCGCTCATCTTCTCCAGAACTTCGATACCCATCAAGGAGCCCAAGGCACGGGCCCGTTCCAAGGTGTCTCTCGCGGTTTTGTAGTGATCAAGCGCCTGAGCAGCGTGATCGGTGTGCAAGTCAGACCATCCTCCACGAAGATGGATCTGATTGAGGGTCTGCCCACATGGAGCTCCGATTGATGACAGTTCTGATGATTACTCTTTGGACTCGAAGAGTTCTGATGTTGTTGTGTCATTCTGGGTGGATCAAACCTCCAGCTACTAGTAACAAGGGCATCGCTACTAGTAACAAGGACGCCACTAGTAGCTCCTGGCATTACTAGGACCAAGAAGCTACGAACGTAACAAGGATGTTTGCACTCCCAAACTCCGACGCCGCCCAAGCTCCGACGTTGTGTGAAACGCCCCGCCTCGGCAAAGCGTTCCAGCTCCTCCAAAGCCTTGCCCGCCTCAATCAGCAGTCGCACACCTTCCTTGGACTCCAAGAGCTTTTGCTCTGTAAAGGCCTCCAATGCAGTGGAGAATGCAGCAACCACCTCTTTCCGATCTTCAAACACTTTGGCCTTGGTGATGGCAATGTTTGCCAGCAATCTGGCTCCATTCTTGGATCTCAAGCGCTGCAACTGCCCAAAGATCTCTTGGGCTGATTCATAGGACTCCAGAGCGGCTGCGAAGTGTCCTTCTTCGGCTTGAGCAACTCCAATGCTCATCTCAGTCTTGGCAAATTCAAAGCTGTTGGTCAACCCAGCATCTCTCAGGCAGCCTGGGGACGGACATCTCAACTGAGGGCGGGGCGATGGGCTAGACGGAATTCCCCAACCAATCCGCTCCTTCTCGCCGATTGGGGACGGATCCGCTTCGCCCCGATTCCGCTTCCCCAAAAAAACATCGACTGTCACCCTGCCTAGAACCAGCTCGAAGTCCTTCAAAGCTGCCTGGTGCTCTCCAGCTGCTTGATGTTTCGCTCCATTCCTCCAATGCTCTTGCCAATCTGCGGCTTGCGGAGCTTCTGCTTCCACCACTTGCTCCGCAGCATCCTCAGCTTTCTTATCGTCGGCTTCAAGGTCCACATCCTCCGCAGCATCCTCAGGTCAACTGACGTCTGTTCGAGAAAAAGAGGAAGCACCAAACAGATACAAAGCTAATTCTAAATGAAATAGAACGCTGCTTCCAAACAAGTGACCCTGGATTGCTTGGCAATGACCACTGGACGTTTAGAATCCAGCTGAGCAGGCAAGGCCTTTCTCCTCGAGCTGCACGCCAGGCAGGCCAGGAACGGAAGGACAGCCTAGCGGCGATATCGCTCTTTTGACATCGAGTTCCTAACAGGATTATCATCCCAATCTTGAAATATGGGGTCTATGGTCTACTCCACTACTACTCCACTACGCCCCACACCCCCACATGATGTACACCCAAAATTCGATAGGTTCTTGAAAAGTCACTGGTGTCAAGAGTGTAACGGCCGTACATAAGCATCATTAGCATTTCAAATTAGCAGTATTGTGCAAGTTCAAGAACCATTTTGTAGCATTCTTGCGTAGAATATACCTGTCAACGCGCATTGCCCGTAGAACATTCAGGTGTGGAAATAAGACATCCACCCGACCTTGTTCTTCACCAGCTCGTTCCATTGAAGCCCCTTCGGCGCAGCGGAGTTCGGGAGCCGCGTTCTCGGCCGCGAACTCGCCCGCAACGGAACGGATCTCAGCGCGGCCACGGTGGGAAGGTCCATGCTGCTGACGTCCATGAGGCTTTCTTCTTGTGAAAAGCCAAGCGAAGTCCGTTTGTTCTTGCAAAGTCGACTCAAGCTTCAAGAAATACCAAGTGATATGTCTGTCTTTGCTGGTTTGATTAGTTGAGTTATGTTGAGTTCATAAGAACCCCATGAACGTCATAAGCTCAACTCCCTAACTTAAATTTATTCAACTACACTGGATACAAGCTGATGATAGTCATGATCAATCCAATGAGTTGCTTCCACACCTTCGCAACACCTGGACCTTGTTTAAGAAACTATAAATGGCTCCCTGAACCAGGAGAAAGCCGGACGAATTCGTGAGACTTGTCACTCTTGCAGCGCTCTTGTCACTCATTCGTGGTTTCACAAGTCTACTCCCCAGCCCAACTCTTGGCCAGCTTCCTGCCCAGGTCAACTTGTTTTCAGGCATTAAACGAGCTCGTGCCAGCTGGCCGAGCGAAAATCTGGACATGATGCTCCAGCTGGCGCCTGGGGAAGTTCTCGTTGAACTTTGCTGTTTTCAACTTGTGTCCATGGGACTTGGAAGCTCAGCCCGCTTGCCCGTTTGCCCAATCTGTTCCCGAGAACCTTTCTGTAACCTGAAAATTGTACCCTGAAGCTGCTTTGCAGCTCAGTGAAACGTCGACGTCCCTTGTTGAGTGATGCATTACGACCACAAATTGCTTCGAATCTGTTCGTACACAAATGCACGATTGATAGAACCACAAATCATTAGCTAGAATGTAAGAAGATTATCAAGATCAATTCATAAAACTCCCCTGAGAAACAGCTCGTGGAACGCGGGTGTAGCTCATGTCTTTGTGGATTTGACAAAACGCACCAAGCATAGAAGCGTCTATATAGAAAACATAACCACCTTGCACAAAAGGAAAACAATCTACCACCTGCCCAAAAGAACACAATAGACAAAAATAGTGTTGAAGTCTCTTAACAGACACTATAATTTGGTAGAAAGTCTTAGAAAGGTCGAAGTCCTTTGGACCACCTCCCCGGTCGTCCGGGGGAAGCGGTACATCACCGACCGGTCGTCCGGTTGAGTGGGACATCGGGACATCGGTCTTGACGGCCGAGCTTCGACCCAGTCTACCTGCCCGAGAGAGCTTGATCGATGTCTCCTTTCACCTCGGTCGAAAGGCGCGCGGCACACGCTGAAACGACACGGAACACGGGGAAAACGCGTCTTGTTCGAAACGTGCTGGGGCTTTCATCAGTGGGATGGGAGAGAGGTTTAAGGTCCAAAATGTCATCACTCCATCAGGAGTGATTTACATCAAAAAGGCTTTATCTTGAAAACAACCGTTCAACACCGCCATGTTGAACACCCGTCGCTCACAGATGTCCATGGTCTCCCACCATGTCCCACCCCTTCATGGGGTCAGGTCATGAAGTCCGTGGATCGGATCAATTGCTGAATTGTTCGATCTTGCGGAGTCGATCCGCATCTGCTGATCAATTGCTGACTTTCGCGACTGGTTGGTTTCACGGGTTCGGACATCACATCTGGTGAAACCACCTGCTGGATTTGAGCGAACGAACTCCACCTGCTGGATCTGAGTGGGGTGTCCTTAATCCTCGAAAAAGCCCACCGGTGACTCCCTTTCGTGCAAGCATTCATCAAGAGCACAAGGATGCGTAGAAAAGTCAGTGCAAAAAAAAATCCTCAAAAAGGTCAAAGGATGTTAAAGATGTTGAAGGTTATCCACTGGGTAGGTTTGCAACTAACTGGAAGAACAAAATCAATTGGGATGATCTCATTCAAAAAAACCCAACATTGCCAAAATATGATCTCGGAAGATCCCAAAATATCCCAAATATGTTCATCCTGCGCAAACCTGTCCTGTCTTGAGTATTGAATAGTATTGACCACAGGCCGGTTGTGCTTCACACCGGAATATCTGCACCTACATTGACCCCTGTGGCCTCAACCACCCCAACGTCGTCGGCACGCATTCCATATACATGGAGTGTCTGAGTGACACTGGTCCACTTCACCTTCGATGGCCAAGCAGCTCGAGAAATGCCCTGCAGCAAAAGCTTGGCCACCTCGTGACAGGTCGATTGACATGACCGACGTCGAGCGATGATGGATACCTGGATAGTACAGAAATTTTCATATCCTAGCTGCTCCTAGCTCTTCACATTTTGGTGTGTCACTGGCACTGGTTTGTCTCATCTCATATCAGTTTTGGCATGCACGCCAGAATCCACTCCGGGTCAGAGTAAGCCTTCCTCCAGTACTTGCCACTCCACTTCTCTGCACGGCTTGGGGCCGCGAAGCGGGCGGGCGGAGAAGGCCACTGACGGATTTCCATTGGACATGTTGTTGCAAGGTCCAAGTTGGGTACAGAGTTGTAGTGCATGGATTTACAGTTCTCCCCCCTGAGTTGTAGTCTGGTTGTACCCACCCACAATCTCCCACATGTGGGAGACATGTTCATGACGTGTCAGCAATTTACATGCACATAATAATCATAATCATAGTCATATCGGAGCTTCACTGTCCTCACTTCTACATCTTCTACTGCATGACAAAGAACGCACCTCGACCACAAATAGTGACTTCCTCCTTGGCCTCTCGCTAAGAGCCACACCAGCCGGCCACCAGCGCCAGCCGCTTGGTCTCGGTAGTTCCAAAGCTTCGCGAAGACCTGAGACGAAGCCGCGGAGCGCGGCTGACCAGCACAGCGATGGTGGTGGGTCTGCGCTCTCACTGTTCCCACCGGTGGATTCTGAAAAAAAAAAAACAAACAAACATATCCCAAACACGACCCATGGGACTGGCATATTTACACATTGGGGTGGTTGAAAAGATTGAAAACCGGGTTAATACAAGGAACCTTCTTTTTTGTATAGGCATACAGAAAAAAAACGCGGAGTCTTTGTTCATCACAATATCACAAGTCATCTGTACAGGACCGGATGTGCGTACAATATTCGGGGTGACGATTTGTAGAAACTCAAGCAAACCTTCTATAGTTCTGCATATAAATAGACATTCAGTAAACTGCCGATAAACACATTCCTCACTTCGCTGTGCTCAGTACCAAATAATTATAAAACTATATATTTTGGAGTAGTTAATTTTTATATTTTATGTATTACATAAAATATAAAAATTAACTACTCCAAAACCATGCATGTTCGGTGCATCTTGCAGAATCTGCGGTAAAAGTGGCCCTGAACATGCCTGAACCATAAGCCCCGTGAACCGTTTTGCAGGGTGCGCAGCTCCATCGATCTTTCCTCACCGATCCATCGACCCGGGACGTCCTGTTCGGCGACCGTTGGCCTCCGTGGCAATGGCTCGCTGTTCGTTGAAAGGCCTTGGAATACGCTTCGGGAAGGCCGCGAGGAAGCTGGCCGGTCGTGTGACGAAACGACAGGTCGTGTGAAGAAGGCACCTCTTTGGAGTTGGTCAAGAATGGCAAAGAAAAAAAAAACACCACAACTGACTGCGTTAAAAAAGGAACGAGGAAGGCACAACACCTCAGCCATGAGTCCCAATTTTCAGTTCGGGGAGTTGGTCAACTGACTTCACTGATGGGTGTTTTTCAAGAGCCGAAACCTTATGCTTCTGCCTTCTGCCAACGCAAAAACCCACGAAGTATTGGATCTGAAAAGCCGAATGAGTTCGCTGGTCCAGCCGGCAAAGCCTAGCTCAGTGATCAGATCTTGGGGGTCCATGACAGGCCTTCAAGATCTTGAAGTCAAAAGAAAACCGCTCACTTATTAGGATCTCCAGATTCAGACTGCTGGATGAAACCCCTCGTTCGAACCCCTCGTTCGAACCCGCGCACCCCGTCACCGACTTGACATCTCCAGGCTTGAACTCAGTGGCAAAGACCGGAACTGCTGGAGGATCTCCTGCACCTCGGCGTCGTCACCCGCGTCGCGGGTGGGGCATCACCCGCGGCCCGCCCGGTGTAGGGTGCGGGATCTTGGGGCGGCAGTCGCACATGACGGATATTGATGGAGGTCCCATCCATGCAGTCTATCTTGGATGCAGTCTGCAGTCTGCCTATTATATAGATTTGTATGATTTGTCTTCGAGACCTTCAGCTTTAGTCACGATTCTAGTCTTTGATAAATTCATGTGATATCATGTCGTGATATCCAATGTCTTCATCCTGTCTTCATATCGACCCACGAACCACGCCTGTGGCTCTGCAATCGAAGCGATCTGCCTTGCCTCGAAGCGATCACCCGTTTTGTGCCGCCCAATGATGTCCCGCATTGTTCATCATTGTTCCCCATGTCGACCCAGGAAGCAGCATTCACGGGCCAGATGGGTACAGCTAAATTTAAAGTGCTCGCAATAGCAGTTCAACTCACCCGAATCGACCATTTCTGCAAAAAGAACACATGCAGTTGTTACAGCTGTTACATGCTGTTGCGTGGTTTTCCGATTGCAACGCTTGTGCTTTCACTTAGACATCGGCGTTGGCAAGGACCTTTTCATCTTTCCCATCTGGAGTCATCAAACCTGGACGAGTGGTCGGAGGGCATGGTCAGAGGATGAGCATTGGCAAGCCCAAGTCAAGACACCAGGATGAAGCACTCAAAATGAAAAACCACGTAACCCAGCATAATGGAATCTGACATACTATTCAGATGTAAAAATCATGAAACTCCAACTTTCGACCACTCGAACGACACGGCGCACCTAGGCTGCCACTTCCCGGCAGATTCCAGGAGGCTGCGAACTGTCGCGCATTCGCACCCACCACCTGTCGACGTGTTTTTCAGTCGGAGTTTTGGCGTGATGGTGATTGGCTATGAGGGAACGATACTGTTTGCAAACGGGACGAAGAGGTTGGTTGGGAACATCGGAACCGGTGCCCGCGGATTTCGGTCCCGGTGTCGAAACCGAGGTGACCGGAGGTCCGATTTCGAAAGACCGACCACGTCACTTCGACTGCATCGATCGATCGTTTGACGGTCTGGCGAACGAAGATCCTTGGGGTGCCTTGGCAAGCTCATCCAATAGAAGATCCTGGCAAAGCAATCACATCACGAGACAAGTTGGTGAGTCTTGTCTTGCATGAGGCTAAATATTTGGAACTGCCACCTGAATTATCTCATTATCATATAATTGTCAAATGTAGTTTAATCAATTAGTAGGGCATCCTCCAGTCATGCATTGGTAAGCTCGGACAAATAGACCAAACCTTGTGGGTTTCTTGTTTGAGCTCTGACAGTTTGAGCTGCGCTCAAATATTGGAGAATGCCACTATCGGAGAACCATGAACCCGCTTGTTAGGTGTCCAGCAAAAAGCGAAGATTTACTTTGTGGCATCTTTTAGCTGCTTGGTAGGAGAAAAGGAGCGACTTCTCGCTGCAATAGTGCACGTCTTGCACTTATGCCCACAATCAGCAAGATTTCAAGCACAATCCACCAGCCAAACCAGGCCAAACCACTCATCCTCCATGCACAAATACCCCGACTTAACACAGTCCATCCCACCTGCAGAGCAGGAGCCACCCGCCGTCCCTCGCGGGGCTCCCCCTGGCGAGTGGCTGAGACGTGATTGCCTTGTCTGGGTTGCCTACAGGAGCCCAGCGATGCCAGGAGCCCCTAGTAGCTTCTTGCTCCTAGTAGTAAGGTCAGGAGCCCCTAGTAGCAGGGCTGGAATTCATGCTTCTCTCTAGAAGTTGAAGTTATCAAGGCTTGTTGGGAAAATACACCCTGCAAGCGATAGGGTGTTTTGAAGATGATGGAAGCTTTATGTTATTTTCAATTTTAATGGTAGGCTTGGTAGATCTTGCTGGGTTTGTTCGGTGACCTTGCACATTGAAACTGTGAACACTGCTCAGCCCAGCGGCTTCAGCATCTCCATGCTCAGATGGCAGGCGCCCAAGCACCAGACTAGCTAACCTCGGAGCCCGGAGTTCACGACTCGAAGGACGCTAGCCTGTACTTGCAGCTTTCAGCAGGCCAAGACAAGCACATTTCAGCAGCCCACAACAGCCGACGTCAGACCGTCCTCGAGCGTAGATGCCCTGAGGCTCTGACTTATCTGCTAAGTTGCTCGCCTCCTGGTCTTCTTCGGGTCCAAAATGCTTCAGTTTCTGCTTCATTTAAGTCACATTCCACTTTCCCAAAACTGGGAATGCAAAAACAAATGCAAAAACTACCCAAGCCTGGTGGTGAAGCCCTGTAGAAACAGCAGTAAAGAACTCCCAGAAAACTGCCTGTACATGACATGAATTGCACTTTGACTCTGCATTTGTGCAGTACTGGCTTTGTTTCCGTTCAACCATCGTAGGCGCTCGTCAACCATTGACATCCATTGACCATGCGCAATCCACTTCTGAACATCACATGGAAACAAGCATAGAGGCCAGTGAATTATGACACAAAAGACCAAACCACTGACCAAACCATATCTTGTCCAACCCTTTTTGGGGATCCCAGCATGAAACACGGACCCCATTTGGACCCCCGCCCGGTGACACGCCGTCCAAAACGGCACGACGCCTCCGCGCGCGACTTCTCGTCGCTGCGCGTGGCGGCCTCGGCAGAGCGGTCGCGGTGGTCGTGGGGTTGGACGGTCGGCTGGGTGGACTGGGAGGAGAAGACAGAAGAAACACTCCGTTCAGACATAAACATGTATAAACTCTGACTCATATTCGGGATGATTATCATCGGTTGATCAATGGTCGATAATAAATATGAGGAAAATTGGAAAACCATCTCAGACCAAAAGAGATAATATGAAATAGTGCAAGTTCCTTCTTCTGCCGCTTGACTATTGGGAAGATGTTTCGTTTAGAGTGGCTCTGCACCCAGCAGCGTCAGGTCTCAAACTGGCATGTGGAGATTTTTACCTCCAGGTCCTCAAAGCACAAACCCAAAGGCAACCTGCCCACATGACGTAATGCTCAACGTTTTTGAGAACGGTTTGAACATGTTATGTCAAAAACGGTGTCTTTGTATGTCTTTGTTGTGTTTCTGTTTTGGGTGACAGCTCTTCCATGCTGGTCCATCCGTCTCACGCTCAGAATGTAGAGTGGATGTGTCTCATCATTTCAACGGATCCTTCGTCTTGTCTTCTTCCATCTTCCATTTCACGTGCGGTGCTGGGTGGACCTTGGCGAACGTGCGATGTGCGATGCCCTCATCGTCTCGTCTCGGCTCGGCATCCGACCACATAGGAGGAAAAGCCCGTGGCCAAGTACTTGAGCCGTTCCGGGCTTGGCTGCCGGTCCATCCCTCGAGTGAAGACGGACGGAGACGTCGGACGCCGGCATTCTGTAGGGGTCAGTGATGGAGTGAAGTGGTGAAGTAGTGAAAGTATCTGGGTGTGTAGCTATAGTCTTAGGGAGACCAGAGACCTCCTAGGCGTTCTGACCTCACTGGAAGGCTCGGGAAATCGACCAGTTGGCCGAGTCAGGGGCGAGAATTGTGTGGTCTCCCTATGTGATGAACCGTGGAAAGGTCGATCCTTTCCAGCAAAGTATGGTGCCCTTTTCAAGCAGATCAGGAACTGTGGAAGCGGAGGGGGTGTTGGAAGATGTTGGAAGGTCTTACGAGGTCTTAGGGATTAGGGACCTGTGTTTTCTCAGAGCAAACCAGTCAAGGCCTGTCCGATTTCTCCCAGCCTTGGTCACTTCCGTAGATGAACGATGCCAGTGCCTGGCTTCGACTTGCAAACCCCCGGAAAAAAGGGCGAACAATGATGGGTATTCCCATGGCAGTCAAGATGTTTGGCCAGAAATTGGGGGGATGTTTGGACTGCAGGTGTGGTTGTTTGGGCCATTTTTGGCCGAACCAGTCATTTGGGGTTTCAAGCTTTTCTGTTTTCCGTACGGAAAATGTGTGAAATCAGCAAGGAAGCCGGACCCGGCATTTGGTCCGTTCCCGATGTTGTCCTACTCTCGCCAAACATATATACTGAGGGAGCGAATTCGTGGGCATTGAAATGGGGAAGAACATGGAAGACCCGTTCTGAGGCCTCAGAACCGCCTCACACCTCTGGTAGCATTTTGCTTGGTTCAACTCATTTGGTTCACAACACCCATCACCAAGGTGTTGAACCGCTCCAAGCGCTCGAAACGGCCTTGCTAATGCGAGGATTGGCATCACTGATCAAGCGCTGTGCCACGTAAGGCCTGAGACACGACTGACATGTCTCACGGGCCAGATCAACAAATGTTCTGCGCAGAGGCGGACCTTCAAAGAATCAGAGTATAAGAAATATATAAGAAGCACATAAGAAGCATACAGCATATATAAGTACTTTCAGGACCAACATGGACCAGCTGTCTGTCTTTGATTTCGGTTTCAATTATCTTCAACCAATGGCTGCTGTGACTCTTGAAGCCCCAAATCACTTCTTCAACTTCCAAGCGTATAAGATCATGCTTGGCTGCCAGCAAGCACTCATTGACCACCGAGTATGATGAGTTGTTGCCTCGGAATTCGATCAAGCTCAGCTGCTGGGCCGAACTGATGTCGAACTGGGCCATCCAAGTGGCGCTCCAACGGCTCGATCCGTCCCATCGTGGCGCTCCACTGCTGTCGAGATGACTGAGTGGCCAGCTCAGGCCAATTCCTTCCAGGACTGCAAATGCTCGTGCGATGTAAAAGAAGTAGGGAGGCCTCGGACGAACATACTAGCGACAGAACGTCTTTCCAGAAAAGGGCCAAGTCCGACCTCTGGTAACCCTGTGGTAGTTGGCAAAAGAGTTTGGACATGTTTGGACATCCATTGGTTGGGGAATCCTATCAGGATCTATCAGGAATCTGAGGGAAATATATAACCCTCCCAAACTTACTGGCCCCAGCTGGCCAGAATTTGGCCGGAGAGCTAAACCGTGTGCTCTTCAAATCAGTGAACGAGTACAGTACTCAGCCGCCACTCGACAGAACAACAAATAGCCTCACGAGCCTCACAAGAGAAATGGTCTCGCTCTGGGCCGAGGCTAGCACACTCTGAAGAGGTTGCCATATTCGCGGCTCAGACCTGGCAGATTTGGTGAGATCCGGTGTCGAACATGCACTGCGGTATCGGTGTGAGATCGGCCTTTAGTTCGACATGGGGTTTGGTTGAGCGGGTGTAGTCTAAAATGCGTGACAATGGTTGGTTCTTCAGTATAAGAACCATTACACATAATGCTGGGCCAGGAATGCTAGGGGTCATATAGAATTGAATGACAATGTCAATATCTGTCAATGGTCGCACCTCAAGGTGTGAGTTTCGGAACCCCAGAAGCTCTGGGAGGAAGTTGAAAATGAGGGACACAAACACATCTGCTGATTCCACACGGCCAAACCGATCCTCCATATCTTCCGCCCCAGATCGCCATCCACAGATCCACCACCGGAGGACGGCGAATGGCAAGACCGGTCACGCCGTGGCCTTGAATCCGCGAGAAGAGGCCATTGACATCCATCTCAGCAGTCGTTTTGCTGGGCAAAAGATATCAAGCTGGACATGTGGACTCTGCCAAAAGAATGCAGTTGAAATATAATGAAATATGTGCTTGACTCACTACTGTGCAAATATACTGTGCGTGAGAGAAATCCCCTGAAGTGTGTCAGAAGTTTTGTGTTGGTCCTCTCTACCTGCCGTTCACCTTCATTAGGTGGGATCCACCCTTCCGTCACAAATGGCGTCTCAGAACTCTGTTGAGATCTCCGGTGTCGGCGGTTTCAGCGCACTGAGGATGCGCTCCTGCTTGGCACCTCCGCCAGCTGACCATTGGCCATAAACATCTGCCAAGGTACCCACGACCTGACCAAAATCAGATCTGAGGCTCCAAACGCCGAAGCGAAATGGATGAAGCTGTGGATGTGGAGGTGTGATGTGTGCTGTGTGCTGTGTGGTATGTGTGACACTGAAACATCATGACTGCGGCTGGATGTACTTTAGGTTGAAGGCCTGAACACCACTTTTTTTTCAAAGTTCATACCGAGCTAGCTGAACCCTGCACCGTTTCCATATGTTGCCAATATGTCATATCTGACAAAGAGAAAAGAACCATGTCTAACTCTCAGTCACTCAAAAACATTCCAACACACATTTTGCCGCCTCGCTCTGGATCACATCGCCCTGGGCGAAACGTTCACGAAGATGGAAGCAGCCGCTTCTTATCAAACGAAGTCCGAAACGACCCAACCAAGATCCGGTCCACCCAGGATCACCCAGGAAGCCAAACCGCGAACCACGAACCGAGCTTATTTCTTTCTTTTTCCGTTGACCCAAGGTCTTTTCCTTTTTTTTTTCCGGATAAAAGCGTCCGAGAAAAATGAATGGCCCGCCTCCATTCCCTCAGGTACGAAGCCTAGAGCCACTAAGTCTCGGGGCACAGGCTCGTAGTCCTCAGAAGTCTCAAAAGCTCCAAAAACGATTTCCTTGTCGGTTTCGGTTTAAAAGTTTCTTGAGACGTTTTGAGTTTTGAGACCCTTTCGTCGTCCATGTCGGTGGGTGGCAAAAAGATTCTATAAAAATTGCACTGCTCCCGGCATGAGACCTCTGGAACTTCTGGGCAGATCTGCTCTCGTTTCATCCGGACGTCGTCGCAGTGCCAACCCACCATCTGCAACCACCTCTGAGGCCCTTAACACCAGAGACCAAGTGCGCGATGTGCTCGATGTATGCTACCTGAGTTTCGAAGCGAAGTCTTCTCAGATTGGGGTGCTCCTTGAACCATCTTGAACCCCCTCCAAAAAGACGTGGACTGCAGGTGGATCGTGAGCTTTTTCAAAACCTAAACACCTATAGAAACAGTTCTAAAAGCCTCCGAAGCTCGCTCCAACCCTCACCCCACCCCAAAAAAAGAACAACAAAACTGCATGGCCAATTCATTCGCTGGGCCTTCGCTCCAAAACCGACTCAGATTTGACAATGGCTCTTCACTCTCCACCGAGTCTTCAGTGCCGGTCACCGAGTGGCGCGAAAGCTTGGATCCAGCTTGGTGACCAACCCCCAATCCAAAATGCAAAGCCTGTCGCCATGTGCCGAGGGCAGAAGCGCAAGCCGATTGACTGACATCGGTGAAATCGATTGACATCGGGACGTGGGTGCTTTGGGAGCGAAGAGGAAGAAAAAGGCTCCGGTGATGGCTCCGCTGTTGGACTGGGGTGGATTCGACATGACAGGTCTATAGGCATTAACCTGGGGGCGCTGAGGTTCTTCAGTTCGTGATCCTTTGAGATCCCCGAACTGGTTCGGTCACTTTCTAGCCGCCCAAATTTCGGGTCACAAACAGGGACCGTGAAAAGGTCACAGTTGAATCAAGCTGGAGAACACCATGTTCATTCGTGAGATCTTGGCTCCACAGTCCCCATGCCTCGTGCTTCGTCGTTTAGTCGCTCGGCTCCGTCGGCCGCACGCAAACGCGTGCTTCGTCGCGTCAAGTCCATCGATTCGGCAGATCGATCCGATGCTCCACCGATCCAACATCACGACCTGTCACCGTTGATTGAACCAGCAGGGACCCAACCATCTGATGCAACGCCCCAAACGCCGAAAGTTGAAGGCGCCTCCCGTCGGGGGTACGCAGCAAGTTCCCCGGATGTGGATCCTGCGAGGTGCGATCCAATCCCCGTTGAGATGGAGAAGGAAAAAGCAAAAAAGGGCATAGAGTTTGGATGGGAGCAGAACCTTTTTTTGTTCATTCTTGAAATGTTTGGAACCCTTTTGACAGGTGGCCTACTATTAAACATAAAAATATAAAACACACACAATAACAAAAACGCGTCACATTGGCAACATGTGGCTCTCTCAAAGTCCCGAACTTTGAACTTCTCCAGAAAATTCTAGAAATCAATCCAAACAAGCGTGATGTGCTTTCGCTTTCTGTCCATGTCTTTAAACCAAAAGGATCAAAAAGTAGAGTCTCGAGAGTCTCCGTGTCTCGCGGTTCCGCCCCGGTGGGGATGGGCTCCGGTCCGCATGAAGCACTCCAGTTTCCAGCATCATCGTGAGGTAGGAGTTCATGGCCACCGAACAAAGCTTCGTCACATCCTGCCCCAAATCGCCCAAATCTGCCAGGAAATCTAAAAGACTTTTCCAGACTGCCCTTATGATCCCTGACAGAGAGCTCGAGTGAATCTAGTAAAGTAAAGGCAGTTGAAAAAGATTGAAAAAGCCTCTTCTTTTCTAAAGAATTAATGTTCTGCTCGAGTTCTGCTCGTGGAACATTGCTCGGTGACACGGTGAACGCGTGTAATTTGTGGGGGAGAATCGCGGACCATCATGGACCATCATGGACCATTGATAAATAATTCGATCCGGTTCAGTGGGCTAAGGAAGACCACAACAACTTGGGTCGATGTTCTCCGGATGTCCTGATGTCCTGGGCACATAACATATGGATTAGAGCGCTCCCAATGGAACAAGCAGAAAAAGAAAACACACGCAAAGCATGTGGAATGAGAGAAGACCATTGACATTCTTGAACCCAACACATGAGCGATGTACGACAAATACCTCAAAGCACCAGTTTGGACCCCCTTTTTGTTCCCATCCCCGGTGTTCCCATGAATGAACCTAACATTTCCCAACAAAGCCAGTCAGTCATACACACTGCTTGGAACTGCCGTAAACCAGCAGCACCAGCAGCAAGCACCCACCCTGGATCACCCAACCCCGGCCTCAGCACTACTGGTTTCAAGACGCTCTCCAACGATCCACTCGGTGGTGAGCACCTGGCTGGCAAAAATCAAACATGAAAAAGGAAACATATTCTGCTTCATAATGTTGCTAATTACTACTCTAACATTATATGTGTATATGTGTATAACTGTATATATATAATACAATATCCATGAATCCATGCTAGAATGTCATTCTACTACAAGTCTCTTTACGAATTCCCGAATACATGTTAAGGACTGTAAGCACCCCTTTTGCTCGAAGGCTTTTTGCAAAAACCTGTGCAAGTGCACGGACCAACCTCAGGACTTGTATCATATCCCCTCCAATCTGAGCAACACACATGGCCAGGACCCTCTAATGAACTGTTCCTCTTCTCAGTCCACCTCTTTCTCTTCCCTCGCCCTCCCTCACCTGCATGCACTTGACTCCGTGCGTAGTCCACCCATGGTCCCGTGGTCTCAACCAATCCCCTCCGGCACCTTCTGACTTGAACAGGAATCCACCGGTTCCGGCGCAAAGACCGCTCCGCCCAAAGGAGTATGCGTGATGTCCTGAGAGAAGGACACGGCGTTCGCTGCCTGCCGCCGGTGCCGGTGCGTTTCGGGGGGGTGCGGCGGGGGATGTGGGGAACCCAACCAGGATACCTTGATCCTGAAAGACCTAGCTGGGAGGTCAAGCTACATGGTGGACTAGGGCTCTAGGTTCGACCCATCCCCAAGTAATTACAGCTCCACTTTGGAGCTTGTGCGAGTCAAGATGGCAACTTGACGATTTGGCTGAGGTTCCATCAGGTTTGATGCTCGTCTGCTAGTTGCTGCTAGTCTTTATGTGGCCCGTGGTCACCAAATATGATTACAACATATG